CCTTTTTCAAAAGGTTTCCAGATTACATGGTTTGTTACATAAAATGTTAGTCTAAGAAAATTTTTATTTGTTTTATTCAGGTAAGTAAATGTGATTTCTTTTCGTTTCATTGTCTTTACAGCTCCTGAAATCCTACAGGGCTTACCTTACGGCCATTCCGCTGACTGGTGGTCCTTGGGTGTTATCGTTTGTCAAATGTTTATGGATAAGGTGAGTTTTCATTATTACTTCTCTCTCTCTCTCTCAACACAATTTATTGTTATAACTTGGAAATGTTCAAAAATTTCTAAACCAAACAAAAGTTGCATAACTTTTTTCCAAAGCTATGAATTTACTTTGGAATATTGGCTATCCCCTTTTGAATATCAATGAAATGTTTTCGCCCCTGCATGTCTATGAGGAAAACTGTACACATCTATAACACGGCTTTATGTTTTTCAAGCATTTATATGCCCATATATATTTGAAAACGATTCGATTTCTCTGGGTATTCGAGAATCAATCTTGTCATCACTACCAGTTCGATCTCTTGATGACAAGGCTGCGAGCATCGATATGTAATGGGGTTCATCGGTTAGCAAGTGAGTTGGTACAGTGCTGCCGATGATTGTGTGCCTAAGTCAACCAAGCGCTGGTACGTATCGAAGATCATAAATTTGTTAGGCATAATGAACTCTATGCATACAGAGCTGACATTGTTCTTATTATCTTCTCTGCCACAATAAAGCTGCGCTTTAAATGCGTGTCCATAGTTAATAAGATGGTTGCCTTGCTTTTCAAAGTGGGAAGATTTACTTCTACTTTCATTAGTAATTTGAGGAAGTAACTCGCTGTAGAGTTTGCTATTTAAGTGTTACGTTGTATTTATTTTATGACGGCTTGTAACGCCATCACGCGTGTTACTCTTCTTGCTTTGGTGTACGATATTTTTAAATCCTTTGTATTGGATGACATATATCACAAATCTTGGCCACCCCAACATTGTTTACGGTTCACTCAGCACTATTATGCGAATCATTCCGCCCCTGACATTAATTTGAGCTGACTGATTTTCTCATCGAGCGCTTCTTGGATATCTTCGTGCGACGTGTTTTGCAGCGAACGCAGTATCAATTTATATCTTAAAGTTTTGCTTGAGATTGCACTTTGTTGTGCTCATATCATCATATAGACCGCAACTTGATTTTACCTCATTCTATAGTCTATACTTACCCGATGTCGGGTAGTGAGTGTAGGAAATTTATTCAAAATCCTAGCATGACTTAATTTCTCTTACGTATCTCGTTCACATCATTTCATTACAATTTTTACATTTTTTGTTTGTTCTGTTGGCAAAATCGACCATATCTTACTATTAAGTGATTATGCCACCTGCCTTACCTGATTATGCCAAAGTTCTCTTATAGCCTTTGAAGTTTTGAGCCCCTGCTGTCTCTCTTAAGCAAGTCACCAATCGATATGCTCTTATTGTGCAATGGTTGAGGATCAGACTTTGTTGCAGCTAAATTTCTTAGTTTTCCTTCATTATTGATATTAGGCTTTGCTGAGAGTCATCTCTCGGCGTGTTTCAAGTTTTCGATCTTCTTATTTTAAACTTTCATCTGTTCTATGTGGTTCTGTGGCAGTTTCTTTTTGGCCTTTGGGTTAGTTCACCAGACTTTCTGTGGTTAACACTGTGTCGTCCTATAATCATCTTTAAAATATTTCCTCCTTAGAAAAGTTTGGCAACGGCACTGACAGAATTCATTTGGTCATATTTACGTTTTCAGAATGTTTCTTCGGCATTCCGATTGCTTGCTGCGCGTTTATTAAAAACCTTTATCGCAAATGGAACGCGGAGATTCGACAAGCTTTTCTTGTTACGTTTTGACAAAATTTTGGTTTCACTTTCCTTTTCAAACATTAAATTTACCTTGCGGTTATGATTGGAAACAGACATTTACAGATATGTGTCCACACAGCGCATATTGACCAGAAGTGGGAATATGCGTTTAGAAGTCGGTCTAAATACTCAAAAATTGAACATTTCGGCTTTAAGCAAGCAGGTCGTCTTCATTTTCTATACTACTGTTATATCAGACCAAGCGAAGAATAAGCACATAAAATGCAATTTAAAGTCTATTATGCCTGGATTAAATATATATATATTAGATAATATTAGATGGTTGCGTTAATTTTTGTCCGCTTTTTCACTTGAAAAAGGCATTGCGTCTTTCCCACCGCATGTAAACGTCTATAAACTATTGAGTTTTTGACTGCTAAGCTGTCCGGCTAAAAAAATCTTACAATTCACTCTCTTCGAATTTTTTGGTTCTCCAGACTGTTCCAGAATCGACAATTGCGACAAGGCGGAGCAGCATCATCGTCAGCTTCTACAAGTGCTTAATGGGCTTCGGCAGGAGATTTTGTCAAATCAAACAACAAAAGTAATGAATGTCGAAAACGCAATTTTCGGCGATGCATGATTAGCGTCTGTATACGCCGAATATTTTAGGTACGAAAAGGTTAATATCACCTAATTTAATCGTTGCCTACACTGGTATTTCCGATTTCTTTGTCGTTTTGACCTGAACCTGACCTCGTTAGTCAAAATTAACGTAACCATTTAATACATATATATTGTATACGTATGTATAATATGTAAATGTAAATATTTACGTATAACACCCATATACGTATGTATTTAAACGCCAGAGCAGGAAGATAAAATTGATTGTTGCCTTTAAAGTCGGTCACCTTATGTAGCAAAAATAGGTATGAATAGTCGTAGACTGGATCGATATTAGAATATAAATTAAATTTTATGTTTTTACATTCACTTCTACGAGCATAATAAGACAGATTGAGGAAAAAATTGCCTTCGATCGCGGAGAAATATTTGCACAACGTTCATGACAAATAGAATAACAATGTGGAGGTATAATGATAATGAAAAGTCATAGAGAAGAAATTCGCCACGAATTGTGCGTCAGCCGGTTACGAGGGCAAACTTCGAACTCTATATAACCCTTTACTACTTTATTATATTATGTAGCATTCAACTTTGGCAAATGGGTGGGTAAACTTTGATGAATTTTGATTTGTCGAAGTGTATTTTAAATGAACCTATATGATAATCTTCCGTAGATAATGGATAGCTTCGAACGAATCGACAATTAAAAATGTTTAACCTTTAAATGCATGATTTCTTGTTTTGAGTTTTGAAAACTTGTTTCTTATAGGAATGTAGTCATAGGTTACGTAAAAATAATTTAAAAGTCCAGGTATTGAGGTAATGTTGAGTAATTATTTTAAAAAACAATGGTATGTAGACTTTTCACAACAATATGCGTTTGTTACCAAAATTACTTTAAACGTAGACAAATGGTTGTTGTGTGTTTACATTGTTTAATTTTATAGGAATTTTCAATTTATTTGTGTATGAAATACAGCAAAGCAATTGCCCTCAGTCCGTAAAAATCTTTTCCAACTTAGAAGTTTGCACTTATTTTTAGAGCTGCGCCTTTTTCGATCATGGCCTATATTATCACTTCGTATATCTTTTGGCGGGGCAGTGTGTTTACCTTCTATCTCCCTTTCTAGACTACTGGGCGTTCCTCTTTCATTCTCATCAGGTTTTTTACAAGAGCATAATGTCGCTGCAAGTTCTGAACTTTAGTCACCTAATGTGAGGATTGTCTGGTTTTTTTTTGTACATACCGATCAGTGCAAGAACAATCTAATACACCATTTGCGACTTTTGATTCTGATCCTATACCTGCCCAAAAAGATGTTATAAGCGCGTCCAGATAGTGAACACCAAACTACTCGAAACCTCCTTGATGGGATTTGTCGGGTAAGTATTGTTTCATAAAATGTGTTACTTTGGTGGAACACGTTTGTACATTGCACAAATATGCTGATACCTAGAAATTGACAGATTTCAATAGCACTGCAGTTAGTAAATAGAGAACTTTTTTTGCAAATTCGTTTGTTTTTACGTCTGCAAAATGAAGTGAATGCAATTCTAAAGATATGATCCATCATTCACAAAAGGGTCTAAATTGCTATAGAAAAAGTTTCAAGCTTAAATGTTTTTACCACACCACATGGGCATTGTACATTCAAATATATATACATAATATGGTATGTATTTTTTATTCCTTTTACTTTGAAGGTCAATTTCTGAGCGGGAGAAAAATATTTTTAGTTCACTCACACCGCCTAGATTTACGCTTTCGCTTGTAAGGTCCAAAATTATACCTTTTGGATCGCATAACTTGTTTACTTTAATGACCATTGTAATATTCTGAGATGTTTCAAACTAACCGATTTCTTTCCGATGATTAGAGATCAAGCTTAACCCTTTCGCGACTGATGCCATCTACATACGGCAGTCTCTTAATGCATTAGACGGGCTGACGCCGTCTAAATATGGCTGTTGTTAATTTTATACGGTATTGGTGGAATGGTTCCGTTGATTCGTCGCGAAAGTCTTAATGCTCGCTGCACTCCACTAAAGAGCTAAGAGTTAAGTGATTAGTTTAAAACTTATTAAAGAACTTTAAGAACATAACCTTAAATACTGATGGAAAAATCGGATTCAGCGGGCACAAATACGCTTACAACTTGCCGTCAGGGCAAACAAACGATGGTGAAAATAAAATATGGTTCAGATTGACTAAGTGACACGGTCAAATTCAACAAAATAAACTGCAAAATATATAATGATTTGATATACAATGGAGGATGATTCCCCGTCAGACGTATATATCTGAGGCCAGGCAAACTTGATATCGAATTTGGATTTTGGGCTGATGGTTCGCGTTAACGGCAATTCGGTTGGTGGCGGAACTCGATGGCGTAAACTCTCCTGGTCGTGTCATTTGAAATAAACAATCGTTTAATAGAGAAGAACAAATATTAGCTAACGGACGTACAACTATGAAAACTCGGCAATATTCATGGTTTTGTCGTGATTGCAGGTATAAGTTACGATTTACCGCGAAGTAAAAAAAATTACAAAAATTATATTAAAAGTTATACCTTTTTTTTACTATTCATAAGAAATCTTATTTGGATTGGCGTCCAAGAAATATGGTAGAAACATGTGGTTTAAATTTGGTCCAATTAATATTTGGTTTGGTTTGGATTAACCAATTTTCATGATGAAACATTGCCTGCGAAACTAAAGATTTCTTGAAGTTCTTAACAATAGACAACTCAAAATT